TGTTCTAAGGTTCTTCCTGTGAAATCCTAGTGATATTATATGTACAATACTCAAGGGGATTTCACAGTTAATTATAGAATTAGTAAATATAAATTATGAATTAAGATCAAATGTAAATACATATTTATTTATTTATTAATTTAACAGCAATGTATAATATTTTCCAGTATTCAATTAGTTATTATTATTTGCAGTTACTAGGTACATTTCACGTACTGTGAAAGGTGCTCTGTGGCTGACACGGATACTGTTGGCACTAAGGTCCTTCATGTTGTTCCATCCTCTACCTTTCCCAGTTCTTGGAAGTGGAACTGAAACTTTTCTTCCTTTGGTTCCTTGGAAGCTTGAAGTTTCACCGGTTTCTTGATATTCTAGCGTGCATTTGTAGTCAAACAGAAAGGGTCGTCCAAGGATACAGTCTTGCGCCTTCGGGGAAACAAAAAGGTGAGCCGGTCCCGAAAATATTCCAATCGTCACTGGGCAGTTTTCGGCTACTCCATTCAAGTCACATCTCGCTCCGCCTACCCCTTTCATTGGTATATCTACTTTGACTACTTCAAGTTCTAAGTCCTGAGGCACTATGCTTGGAATAACATTGATCATAGACCCTGAATCAACCATGAAATCTACTTTTGATCCACCACTTTCTGCCGTTACGTAGCCTAAAGCACAACTGTAATAAAAGGGATCTCTTTCTTCATCTTCATTGTTGAGCTCCATTGCGGACATTTTAACTGCTTCAGTTGCTATGTAGGTTGCGGAACTTTTCTCCGGAAGTCTGTTCTTTAATTTTGAAATGATCTGGGATGTGTATGCTGGAGATATAGCTGTGAGCTGAGCAAAAGTAGCTGGAATTTTGACATTGTCTAATTCCTGAAGCAAAATTTCCTCTGGACTCGCATCCTTGGATTTCATGGCTGAGATTCTGTCCTTACTCCAAACCTTCTCAACTGGCTTCTTCAGAGGATTTGGTGAGATCTTGGCCACTTCTTCCTCTTGATCCACATCCATCTGTTCCTCGTTTGTCGGTTCCTGAATCCGGACACTTCGTCTTCCTTTCTGCGCATCCGACCTAGTTATTGCGTGAGTTCCTAGAAAATTTTCAGCCCCTAAGGTTGGTGGATCCCAATCAATAGTTTGAGCTGATGACTTCATGATTCCAGAATTTTTTTTTGGTTCCGTCTTGGTCGCATTCTTCGCATGTTCTTGCATCTTTGGGTCTGCCGAAGCTGATGCCACTACCGTTCGGATTGGTCTGGAAGGGTTCCATGGTGCGTTGATAATCGCACCCCCTCCCCTTCCCCGCACGCCCACGCCCACGCCCCTCTAAAAGGAGTGTGCAGTCGAACCTGCCCCTCCTGGAGGGGAGTGTGGGCTTGCACGCCCCTCGGAAGCGTGTTTTTTCAACGAAACATGCTTCCGAGGGGCGTGCAACCCAACACGCCCCTCCAGGAGGGGCGTGTGGGCTTGCACGCCAGCCAAGAACTGAGCTAGGTTGGTTCTTGGCTGGCGGGTAGATTAAGCAAGGGGCGGGTCAAAGCGCACGCCCCTCGATAGGCTTCAAACCTTACCGATACGATATCGGTAAGGTTCAGAGACAGGAACCTTACCGATATCATATCCGTGAGAAAACACCCGGGGATGTTTTGCTCACGTAAGCGTCCTGCCCGCTTCTTTCCTCCCCCCTCTCTTTTTTTTACGTGTGTGGGGTCCCTTGGCAGCTCTGGGTCCTGGAACAAGTTCTCGAGGGTTTCAAAATCCTCGGTCGGGTCGGAGGGGGCCTTGTGGCTCGGATTGAGTTGGTCGGTCGGCTGGGGGCAGGTCAATACTAATATCGATATAGTTCTCTCTCCTCCCAAGGAGGAGAGAGAACTATATCAATACTGATATCGATATAGTTCTCTCTCCTCCCAAGGAGGAGAGAGACAGGCTGCTTACATGAGCAAAACATCCCTGGATGTTTTGCTCACGTAAGCAAAACCTGGAACCTTACCGATATGATATTGGTAAGGTTTGTTGAGTGAGCTGTTTTTCCTTTCATCTGCTTCCTCCCTGTCCCTCTCATGTCACAATCTGTGACACCTGCCCATGTAGTTACCCCGGGCCAGCAAGGAGGATGAATGGTTTCCTCATCCTTCCATTCATCCATATCTGCTGGACCCAGGTAAGTCCTTTGTCGTCAAGTCTCTATTCTTTTCTTTCTCTTTTTCTCTCAGTCTGTTTTTCTTCTATCTGATGAAATACAATCCTTCCATTCATCCATATCTGCTGGACCCAGTTGGCCGCAACAAGGTTCCTGTCTCTGAACCTTACCGATATCGTATTGGTAAGGTTTGAAGCCTATTGAGGGGTGTGCGCTTTGACCCGCCCCTCGCTTAATCTACCCACCAGCCAAGAACCGACCTAGCTTGGTTCTTGGCTGGCGTTGCGGAACTACTCTTGGGAGGAATAGAGCTTAGAAAGGGATGAATGCTTGAAGGGCTGCCTCTCTGGTTACTGGGAGAGTAGGAAGAACAAGAAATAAGAGTATGGACTCTTTAAAGAAAAGGTGTGGCTAAATGAAGATGTAAGATATGTAAAGGGTAAGGTATGAAGATAATAAGTCTGTGTAAAATGTCTCAATCTGTAATGCTAAATATATTCCAAGTAAGTAATGCTAAATCAATGACCAGGGAGCAATAATGACAACTCTGATGGGGGACAAATGGCAAGGGCCAAGAGAACACTACATATAAGTCTTCTGGGAGGGGATAAGAAACAAGGAGCAAGGCATCATCACAGGGTACATGTAACAAGGCAACAACATGGCTTGGGAGACAGGCTTGGGAAGGGCATGTGTGACAAGGGTAAAACAAGGCTGAAGCAACAGGGATGGAAACATGACATATGTGGCTACTGTAACAATTTGCCATGGTATGTAATAAAGAGAAACAAGAATGAATAAGAGCAAGGGTCATTCCTAACAGTCTGGCTCTCTGGGGTGGTGGACTTTCTCCCACTTTATACCTGATTTGTACTTGTTTTATTCCCATTTGTGGCTGGTGATCCATGTAGAGTGTTACTGATGGATTGTTGGGTCTGGTGGAGCTGATGGAAGTGTCTATGGGATGATTGAAGGTGGCCATGAGTGTATTACATATGTAGGATGTTGTTTTTTAGGTTTGTTTTTATATGTAGAAGATGTGAAATGGTCCAGAAAAGGTGGTAAAAGGATGTAACAGGTTTTGATTGGTCTTACCACATCCACCCCCAAATTAGATGATGTCCCCATCATCCAACTAGAGTTACCTGTGAATTACTTGAGGCAGAAAAGGAAAAAAAAGGAAAGAAAAAAAAGAAATGTGACTGGGAGAAAAGAAATGTGAAGTATGTACAAAGAAATTTATTAAAGCTGAGGGGATAATTGTGCCAGAAAGAGAAGAAAAAGAAGAGATAAATGAAAGCTAGGTGATAATTTTCATGTGGGGCTTTTCTGATGAGTTTATACTGTAATTTTTTTGTGGTTTTTTATTTTATTTTTTTTTTATGTAGAACTTTAAAGTGATGGAAGGAAGATAAGAGAGGAGAAAAAAGAATTTGTACAGTAGAGGGAGAGGAAAATAAGAGAATTAATGTTTTTAGGGGGTTGATAAGTGCAAGCCAACCCCCCTCGCGCAAGCCAATACGCACGCCAGGCGGAGATTGGCGTGCGCACCTGCACGCCAGCCCGTCAATGGCGTGCAGGGCCGCACGCCAATCCCCTGCAGGGATATACCCTGCAGGTTGGCGTGCAGGCCTGCACGCCACAGGTGTTTGGCGTGCGAGGCCGCATGCCAAAGCTGCAGGGGCCTAAACACATATACATATGCGTATAGGCCCAGGCCAACCCATACACCCCAGGGTTCCGTCGTATGGGCTGGACTGCATCCTAAACACATAGAAATTAGGATGCATGCCAACCCATACAACCCAACCCTGGGTTGTATGGGTTGGCCCAGAGTCACTCATCTAAGGTTTTAACCTTGAACAATGACCAGTCAAGGTTAAAACCTTGACCGGCCATCGATCAAGGTTAAAACCTTGGATGATGGCATTGAATATCCGTGTAGGACCCAGGCCTGGGTCCTACACGAGTGTATGCCACCGGGGGCGGGGTTTGGGTCCAGCCCCGCCTGCTGGGTTCCTCCCCTCCCCCCATCCAATCCTACCCTTAACCACCACCTCACTCCCAGCAATCAGCATACGAGACCCCGCCCCGGTGGCATACACTCGTGTAGGACCCAGGCCTGGGTCCTACACGGATATTCAAGGCCATCATCCAAGGTTTTAACCTTGATCGATGGCCGGTCAAGGTTATAACCTTGACTGGTCATCGTTCAAGGTTAAAACCTTAGATGAGTGACTCTGGGCCAACCCATACAACCCAGGGTTGGGTCGCATGGGGTGCCCTGGATCCTAATTTCTATGTGTTTAGGATGCAGGCCAACCCATACGACACATCCCTGGGTTGTATGGGCTGGCCTGGGGCCTAAACGCATATGTATATGTGTTTAGGCCCCTGCAGCTTTGGCATGCGGCCTCGCACGCCAAACACCTGTGGCGTGCAGGCCTGCAAGCCAACCTGCAGGGTATATCCCTGCAGGGGATTGGCGTGCGGCCCTGCACGCCATTGACAGGCTGGCGTGAAGGCGCGCACGCCAATCTCCGCCTGGCTTGCGGATTGGCTTGCGCGAGGGGGGTTGGCTTGCACTTATCAACCCCCATGTTTTTATTTTATTTTTATGGAAATTATTTAAGAATTTTTTCTTATCAGTTTTGTTAATTTTTGATGAAGAGACAGGGATACCAGCAGAAAAAAAATTTTGTATCTACAAAAACAAAGGGGGAAATTTGTTTAAAATGGAAAAGTTTTTACTTCACCCCCAAATTTGAATGATGTCTCCATCATAAGAAAAAAGAGGGCTCCATAGGTTTTGAAAAATGTATCTACAAGTAGAAAATAAGCGGTGGAGAGGCCCTAATCAACTCATTCTTGCAAGAAGTGCAAGTGATGCGCGTTCCCCGTCACGAGCCGCTCTAGCGGATAGAAGGTAACCATCGGCTTCGGCTCCGTCGAGTTCCTTGATGGCCAGGTTCGCTTCCTTCGGACAGGTGAAAACAACAATAGCGCGAAGTTCTTCTTCCTGAGTCGCACAGGGCAGAAAACAGTGGTGAACGGTCCCATAGGAAGCCAAAGCTGTGCAAATGTCGCCATCGGTCGTTCCTGGCGCGATGTTTGAAAGGATGATGGGGAAGAATGGTCGTGCGGCCGCGAACATTTTTTAGTGTGCCTGAATCGAAAAAGGGAATAGACCGTGCTTTGAGGGTCCTGGGGCTTCGAAGGTAGTTTTCGTGCCGACCGGTCAAGCTGAGTATCATGTGGACAAGGTTTCTTATATTCCTTCCTAGTTCCTGCTGGAAGGGACCTTCCCAGCTGAAGCGGGTCAATCCCTCAAGACACTAGACTGGACAACAGCGCCGCCGTATCCTAACCCGGCCGTACACCGTCAAGCAATCAATCATTCGGCCAGAATCCAAATACTCAACTAGCCCGGTCAGCCAAGTGGCAGCTAGACAAACCAGTCCAGTCAATATCCCCTGGCGAGGATTGCGCATCGTTGGGCGACAAGCCCCCCTGTTGTTTTATGTTTATTTCAGCGGAACCGGTCAAAAACAGCTACTCAACCAGCCCGGTTCCAAAAGGGATCGGTTCGGTGTGAACGTTTAGCGGAGGGCGAAAAAAAAAAAAAAAAACCGTTACCGTTTCTTCTTTAAAGGTCGGACAAAATTCCCAAAGGTAGGTCCTTACCCGCTCATCCTTCTTCCTTCATCAAACTAAAATTGATCGCCGTAGCTCACTCACTTCCGATTCCAACATATTTAGTCGTTATTTTTATCTGCGAAAAGAAAAATCAAACGATGTCTTTGCAAGATCACCAAATCTCTGAACATGCGCCGAACTACCAGCCAATGGCGCATGATCGTTACGACGAAGGTTCGTTACAGGACCCCATTGACATCCCCTCGGATTCCGACGACCCGACTAATACCAGTTGTTCCTCCACTACCTCGTCAGCCTACGGGTCCAGTCCGCAGCCCATCGAGGTCGTCAACCTTTGTATTCTTACGGTTGCCAGAGTTCAAGAACTCGTTCGCTTCCGCCGCCGATTGCGCATTATTGCAGGACAGCGAGTTATCAGGCTAGGTTCCAGTCGTGGTAGGCGATCCCAAGGTCACCGCGCTGTCTCCAACCGAGCTGTTCTGGCACTCAGGGATATTGAGCGCGAACTGGAGGACTTAATTGAGGACTGCATCATGATCCGAGCTGCCGTATGAGTGAGTTTTTTTTTTTTTTTTTTTTTTTTTTTATGAATAACAGACTTTCTAACCCAGAAGAAAAAGAACACTGAGACCAAATTAAACTTGATGAGCTGAAACTTTTTTTTTTTTTTTTTTTTTTTTTTAGGATTTATTTTTGTTTATTTTTTTTACTTGTTGTTTTGTTTATTTTTATTTTCCCTAGCTCCTTTAGCCATGCAGAGAAATTTTTAAAACCAGAAATGCCCCAAGGAAACCATTCAGACCTCTCTTGGAAAGAACTGCTTCACCTGGGAAGAGGCATACCTCCTCTTCAATTCTTGACCATCCAGTTCCTCCAAGGTGTAAGAGCCTTTTCCTTGAGCCTTGATCCTGTAAGGACCATTCCACCTGTTTTCAAACAGTTTTCCCCACTGGGTTTCAAGTGATCTGTTATAAACAAGAACAAGAGTTCCCACATCCAAAGGTCCTCTGTCTGGCTTCTTCTGGTTCCAAAATTCCACTGAGTTGGTCCTGGAGTCCTTCATATTTTTGTAAGCTTCCTGAAGGGTTCCCTCTCTTTTCTCCAATTGGTGTACTCTTGCTAACAGTAATTCTTCTGTAGTTGTAATATTTTCCCATTCAGTGCCAAGGAAGGTTTCCAATTCTAAGTCAATGGGTAATACAGCAGGATGGCCAAACATGAGTTCATAAGGAGTGTACCCAGTTGTCTTCTTGGTGGAGATTCTGTCAGAAAATAATACTAGAGGTAGGTAATTTCTCCATTTCTTCCCATCAGTTCCAGCCAATTTGACCAAAGCATCCTTGATGGGTTGATGGCCTCTTTCAATCATGCCATTAGCCTCTGGGTTGTAGGGAGTTGTAACTTTGATGATTGATTCTTTTTCTGCTAATTTTGTTTGTAATTCTTTGCCAAATTCAGTTCCACCATCCACAACTATACTCCAGGGGGCTCCATATCTGAAAATCCACTCTTCAATGAACCATTGGGCAATTTTTGATGCACTGAGTTTTTCCAGACCAAGAGCTTCCACCCAACCAGAAAGGTCATCTCTGGCCAGAACCAGGTATTTCCATTTTCCAGCTTTGATGTGTACTGTGTCCAAACTGACTCTTCCAAATATTGTTGATTTTCCAGTAGCTTTCTTGTGTTCCAGGGGTTTTGTTGAGCTCCTCTTCTGACAGGCTTCACAGGATTGGACCCAATTCTTCACCTTCTTTTTCATGTGTGGCCACCAGAACCTGAGTTTGGCCCTTTTGTAAGTTTCTTCAACTCCTCTGTGGCCAAGTTCTTCATGCAGGGCTTGGAGGATGTGGTTCTGGTGTCTGGAGACAGTTATTACCAGTTGAGGGAAAGGTGTGCCTCTTTTCTTCAATTTTCCATCTGAGACCATGAACTGAGCTGATTTATGCTTGATAACCTTCCATTCTGAATCAGTAGTGTCTGGGGGCCTGTTTAGAGTGCAGAGATACTGTTGTAATTTTTCCCAAATTCCCTCCTGCTGAAATTGACCATATTCCACCCCCAAATTTAGAGTGTTGACTTCTTTTACGCCAAAACCAGGGTGGGGCTTGATCCATTTCTCATCTTCATCAAAATCTGGCTGGTTGGTTTCACCAGGATCTGGAGGCCTCCTGGAAAGTCCATCTGGCATGGTAAAAGTTTTTCCTGGCACATGGACCAAATTGAAGGAAAAAAGTTGAATGAAAGCTACCCATCTGGTCAGGGGGGCATTTGGAAGGTCAGGTGAGTTGATCATTTCAATGAGGCTTTTGGCATCCACCAATAAGTAAAACTGTTGACCCCAAAGCTGAACCTGTAATTTTTTTAGGATTTTTGCCACTCCACAGAGCTCCAACTTGGATTGAGAGTACCTGGATTCCACTGGAGAGAAGACTACTGATTCATAGAGAACTGGCCTGTCTTGATTATTATCCTCCTGTGTAAGAACTGTTCCTGCTGCTATGTAGCTTGAGTCCACTGCTAATTTGATTTTTCCAGCTTCAGGAGAATAGTCCAATTTTTTTAAGGTGACATCTTGGCCAACTATTTTCCTCAGCAATTCATAGGCTTCTTGGCAGCCTTCATCCCAAATCCAGTCTGCCTTCTTTCTGGTAAGTTTTCTGAGGGGAGAAGCAAGTTCTGAGAAATTTTTGATGAACATCCTGACATAAACACAGACTCCAAGGAATCCCCTGACTTCTGTTGGATTGTTGGGTATAGGCCAAGATTCCACTTTGTTGAGTTGTTTTTTTGAAATTTTTCTGCCTTCCTTACAGACCACATGGCCAACTAGATCCAAGGCTGGTACGCAGCAGGCAAACTTTTTCCCAGAGATAGTAAGTCCAGCTTCTTCTATTCTGAATAATATTCTTTCCAAGGTAATGGCATATTCCCAAATAAATTTTCTGATCCCTGGATTTTCTGGCAAGGTTTCTTGGTTGTAGTCTGATACTGGTCCCTTGATTCCTCCATCATCAATGAAAATACCAACATTTTCTGGAATTTCCTCCTGGAGAATCCACATCATTTGGGCTTGGTAAACAGCAACAGAGTTGGTGGCTCCTTGGGGTAATCTGGTGAGTTGGAATCTTCCTAGGGGGGTTTCAAAGGTTGTAAGGGGCCTGGAAAGTTCTGATAATTCTCTTTCATCATACCCTCCCATAATGTCACCAAGTCCATAGCAAGATCTACCAGTGAATGATTCTATAAGGGCCTCTGGAGAAGGTGGTACGCCTGAGTCTTTGATGGTAACTTTGTTCAATTTCTGTAAGTCATGGACTATCCTGAGTTTCCCATCCTGTTTCTTGACACAAAAGACTGGGCTGGAATAAGAGGAGGAAGATTGCTCATATAAACATGTTTTTACCCTCTCTCTTACTAGTTCAATGTATTGGTCCATAATTGCAGCTGGAATTGGAATGGCCCTCTGCTGCCAAGGATCATGCTGGATAACTGGAATAACATAAGGCTTGCCATAGGAATGTTTGAGTAAGCCCCTTTCTTCTGCGCAGAAGGCCAATCCCCCCTGTCTTAACTTGATGATGTGTTTAAATAAGTTGAGTTCTTCTGGAGTAAGCCAGCCTGCTGGTCCAAAATTGACAACCTTGAGTCTTTCTTCTGTAATTTTCCAGGTTGGAGTAAAAGGTGGTGGGAAAGGGGTTAGAGGAGTAGAAAAAGGATCCCTAGAGAGTGGTGGACAAGATAAAGGTGGGTTGAGGTGAAGTGGCATGTATTGATTTACTGGTTTGACCTTTTTTGTAGCTGATTTGTATTTTGAGGCAAAAACTAATTTAAAAGCTCTTTCTTCTTTAGGCACCCCCCAGTCTTCTACTTTTGGGAGGCGCCAGAGGCTAAAAAATGACTGGATTTAGTGGTGGCATGGACAGGGAAGGCTGTTTCATATTTCTGGTCTGCTCGATTTAAGATTGGTACCAGGTAAGTTTTTCCAGAGATGTCTATTGACAGAGATTCAGCCCCAGAAGACATGAACTTGATGGTAGCTGACACATCCACCAACCATGCTTTTCCTAGAATTGGCTTGATTTGTTCTGTAGAGACCCAGAAGTGACTGTTCCTGATGACATTCCCAATCCTTACTGGAACATTGTTGGCAATTCCAAGTAATTTGCTCCTGTGGCCTCCAATCCCTTTGATATCCATGACTTCCTGGACAATAACAAGACCCATTTTGGCAGCAAGTGACTGAGGTAGCAAGTTGATTTCTGAGCCATTATCCAAAAGAGCCTCAAATCTTTTGTCATTTATGCTGACATGGATGTAGCCCAAGGGACAGGAATAATGAGCTGGAAGATCTTCAGATTCCTCCTGTTCTTCCTCCTGCTCCTGACTGAGTCCTCCAGTGTTGACTGATTTGGCCTGGTCTATGGGCACCCTTTTTGAGCTGATTCTCTTTTTTAAGTTGTCCACTACAGCATTTGATAAGGTAAGAAGGGCTCCATAGGAAATTTCCACAGTTCCATTGAGCATTCTGGTCACCACATCTTCTTCTGTATCTGGGAACTGACTGGCAAGTGGCTTTTCCAAGTAAGTTTTCCTAATTGGTTTTTCCTTGGAAGAGGAGTTGCTGGTGTCTGCTGGTTCCTTGATCTGGACTTTCTTGGGTGGGGGATTTTCTTTGGTTGAGGAAGCTGGTAGGGGAACTGGATCATAGGTGTCTTGTCTGGCAATTTCCAAAATCCTGGCTGATTCATCATCCAAGTCCATAAATTCTTCTTTCTCTTTTCTGATTTTCTTGGAGGTTGAAGGTGCTTCTGTGTAGTCCTTGTTGCTTCTGGTTCTTTTCCCAATGTCCACGTCAAAGGCAGAAACATCCTCCTCTTCTTCAGGTAAAGAAAGTTGACCAAAGGATGAATGGACCACAGGTGTGTCTTGTTGCTCTTTCTTCTGAGTCTGGGTTCCTGGTGGCAAGTTGACTATTCCTGGCTGACCTGACCTATGGTGAAATTGGTCCACTACAGCTTTGAGGGGTCTAGTCCTGTCCCAAGGCACCTGGGTTCCATCTGGTAAGACTAAACTGTTCCCTTCCTTTTTGACCAATCCCTGAAGTTCATCATGATTGACTAAGTTGCACCTGTGGATAGTGTGGCCTACCATATGGCAGTAATTACACTTGAAGCTGGAAGGTGGTCTGTCCAATTGAGCTGGTTTGTAGGGCAGATGGCTGGCAGAGGTAAATCCAGGTAGTTGTTTCTGAGTATTCCAAGCAGAGAAGGATTTGGTAAGGTTGTCCATAGCTTTATCCTATTTTGGGGCCTGTTGACTAGTGGGCTGATTCTGTCTCTTTTGTGTAGGTTCAGAAAAGACTGCTCCATCCAGTATAGCCATAGTCCTAAGTTCCCTGTTGATGTAGTCCAGGATTGTCTTGTAGGCTGGGAGTATGTGGGATCCATCCACTGAGAGGGACATCTGGTTGTCTCTGATTAATTCCTTGGTGACTGAGATTCTGATTGGGTGGATTAAGCAGTTGAGTACAGCATGTCTGATTTCTTCTGCA